CGTTATTACATTTATTGTTATTTATCACAAAATTTAATCAAATGTAAAATAAAATTCTGGATCATCCAACTATGTTAAATGTAGTCGATATTTCCATGTATTGACATCTGACAACCATCACAAAATGTCTGGATTATACCATTCAGAACGACTGACTAAAACTGTGGAGTGAGTCAATTTGACATCGACTATTGCTTGACCATGTCGAAAAATATATCGATATTTGACGATATGACCGAATGAATGATGATTTTATTTGTACAACACAATAACACTTAAAAATACTTATATAACAGTATCCTACAATCTCATGTCATTAAATTTATAATAATAATTTTTATAATTAAATAAAAATATTATAAATGCAAAAATTAAAATTAGTATCTGTACTTAAAATATTTAAACACATAAATTACACGAATTTTCAGATTTCCCAGTGACCCTTCTCGGAAGAGAAAGTGGGTAGAAGCAGTTCGTAGAGATGAAACCTGGATGCCGACGAAACACAGCGCCATATGCAGTGTACATTTCGATACTGCCTGTTTTAATAATAATGCAAAGAAACAGAAAACTGATACATCCCTCAAGTGATACCATAGCTATTTGTTGCACTGCTAACTCGAACTTAGGAAGGGTCTTCAGAATAAAAGACTAAAAAACACAACAGACTTTCTCCTGCCGAAAGTAACAAAAACATTGGTGCAACTTCCATTGTACGAAGTCATTCATTTCTACAAATTTGAAAACGACGACGTGAATCACGTCGAAGAATTAACGAAAGCCGTTCCTGAAAAGTATTTAAATATTAGAATTGCTTATACAAGAAAACAAGCGAACAAAACAAATTCTAAGAAACACATTTTAAGGAAGATGATACATAATAAAAGTCAGTAAACCTATTTAAATAATTTAAACTATATTAAAAAATTTGACGTTGATCATAACTTTAATTGAATAAAAAGTCCATAACAATGTCCTGCTTCTTTTATTTTAATTAAAATTTAAATACCGGAAGCTTACCTTACCTTCATTATCCCTTTATTTCCTTTATCTTGCAGCTTATTTACGTTACGCCTTTTCTTTGTCATCCGTACATCGATATATTTTATCGACTACGATCGAGTACTAGAAATAAAGTGAACTTCTACGAATTTTGTATCTGTTTATATTAACGTAATAAAATCTTTGTTTGCGTTTTTCTCCACTTGGTTGAACGAGTTTTCATTCATTTGTGTTTTATGACGGGTCCAGTGGTTAATTCGTTCAAGCCCAATTCCTACCAAAGTTAATGCAAAACAGGTAAGACGTGGAAAAAAATTAAACATACGAAAAGGTTGACTATGCATGACTTGAAAAAAAGGCCCTAAAATGTATGTTTTTATATTTCATTTTACATTTCCTTGTACTAATATGACCTTAAATCTGTTTTATATGCAGATTAGGATACATTTGCTTCGTCTTAATTGAATTAGCTGAAAGTTTTGCCTTACCTTCACACTCCATTAATAATTCCGTTAACAACAATAACACTTGAAACTGGCACAATTTTTTCTCAAATAACACAAAAATGTATGCAAGCATGCTCTACATATCGCACAGAACATGTAAATTAGACATTAAAAATATTTTAATTGGGCGGGCCAAGATACTTTATCGAGATGCCCGGCTCGCCGATGGGCGCGCTGAATAATAGTATAAGACGGAATGGGGATAATGTTGTCTTTTCTTAGGAAGGCAGTGAATTGGAGGCTCTTATCAAAGCGTATGTTATATTCACTATCTTTTTTGTCCTTACTTTCTGCATGAAGTACTGCGTTCATGTAGAAATCACTAGTACGTCACTCATATTACTGCGACTGCATGCTCAATCGTGACCGCCGCACCGCTAGGATATTTTTACAATAAATAAAAATATAGTTTTAGCTGTGAGCTCTTTCAATTACTTTGTTCATAGGTAGGAAAACAAAAGGATGTTAGTAAGAGCCCCAATGAGGGTCTACAAGTTTTTCTCCTACCATTGCGCCCATTTGGAATGTGGTGAAATATTTAACAGGTTTCATGGAGGGGGACATAAATTGGTAGGAAAATACAAAAGTTAACGTTTCTTTCCGAAATATTAGTTATATGTTAATTAGATTAATAAGGGATTAAAAATCAACACATATTTTCAAAAGTAAAAAAATTAAAAATAAAGTCAAAAGTTAAAAAAATGTGCCAAAAGTTAAAGGGCGACCACTGAGACATTCTTTTGTGTACACACTCGTAGATATAAACACATGAAACCGAAAAACTATGAAATTATAGACGGGAAAGTTAAGAAGGGAGGGACAAGGGATCTGCATGGTTTATCCGGAGGATGGGTGAAGGAAAATCGGCTTCTGAGGTATGTGGAAGAGGAAGGGTTGTGCAAGATGTTATAGAGGAGACATAGCAATCGAGTGTTCCTTCGAAGTCGAATTGGGAGCCACTTGAGTGGCTTGCGAAACTGAGATATTCGGTCGAATTTCTTGAGCCCAAATATGAAACGGATACACTGATTTTGCAAGCGCTCAAGTTTATTAAGGAGCTCCTCTCTAGCATGCAAATAGCAGGCAACTTTTCACTTAAGATGACATTTTGCAAATAACTTCACCTCAGCCCCAACACCTGACATCTGGTAAGCGGAATTTAATTAATTTATAAATTAATAAATTATAAATTAATTAAACTAATAAATTATAATATAATATATTATAATTTATTAGCGGAATAAATTATTAGGCTCCATTAGTTTAGTTTAAGACGAAAGTGACATTACATTTCGTAACGAATAAACAAATCATTCGAGTTATAAAAATACTTTATGTTATAGTTAAAAGCATGATATAATGAGATATGTATAAAAATACAGAAACAACTTCACAACATTTATGACTTTTGAAACAAAAAATCATTAATACCATAAATTATAACTTGTTTACTACAATAAATAAAACTAGCATGATTGAACATTTGTGTATGTTGAAAAATAACTAACAACAAAACATAACAAAAGTTAAACGTAAACATTTTCACATTCAAACAAAATTTTTACACAATTTTAAACTAACATCTTGAACGTTTTTACGTTACTGCGCCACGCTTTGGTTTTGCGTATTTAGAAATTAAAATTAAAAAAAAATTAACCTAAAGCATACATTTTACTTAGCCTGTCTTAATTTCCCTTCATAATAGAATATTAAAAAATGCTAATAATTAAGCCTAAGATGGACGGTTCTTTATCACACTTTTATGGGAAAAGTGCACATATCTTCTCCCTTCTTTCTTCTCTTCAGCTTGTACACAGTCAAATGGTCGCCACACACGGTCAGTTCAACTGATCATTCCAACTGATCAGTTCAAACTAAATGTGTTGATATTTTTTAAAATATTGGATTTTCGATATATCGATAAATAAACTTATATATAAAACTCCGATATTTATAATTATCCATATATCGAAAATTCCATATTTTAAAAAATATCAACAGTTTCAGTTTGAACTGATCAGCTTTGGAATGATCAGTTGAACTGACCGTGTGTGGCGTCCATAAGAAGAACATACAGTCAGCCATCGCGTTTGTTGTTGTCGTCGCAAAAGCCGACATCGTCTATAGGCTTGCGTCATTGCGTCGTAATGAATGAAATTGCTAGGGTTGTCACAACGGGAAGAATTAAAAATTAATAATATTTTTTTACTCCACATTTAAACAAATGAAATAACTTTATCGGACCATTGGTGTTCAGAAATAAGAAAAATAGTTTAATAAAAATAATTATAAAAAATAGTCAACCGTTGTATATATCTTTAGTCGCTTCATATGTCGAGCTGTCAGTTACACTATTTCAAATTGGAATACAACGTGACAGGACAGCCCTGCCGGAGAGCTCCCGAACGACTTATAAGTAAGTGGATTGGATGTTCGGCCGATCGGGAGCGCTCCGCTCACGTCTCGCCCCTCATCGTTCGTAACACACGATCTAGACGTCTTCGATGACTGATTGTAGTAATTAGACTGTAGCCTGGTGTTCTTACTCAAAGTACTCTGTGGTTCTACCCTCATTTCATTGTATTTTCTTATATTTTCTATCCATATTTATAACACTTTTTATAGAATTTGTATGGATACTAAAAAAAACAAGTAAGTTTTTTGGTTCTACTAAAATTATGTGATGTGGTAATTTATTTATAACTACAATGTTACCATGTTTCATTCACATGAATTTTATAAGAACGCATACGAAGCACAACTACCTAATTTCACACTGACACAGAAATTGTCATTAATATGTCACATACTGTATATAAACAAAACAGCTGTTCAATGGTGATTAAGAGTGGGTTTGCCAGATCGGAAGACCAAAATATCTGGACAAATTTTGAGAAAGTCGGGGTTTTGGGAGATACAAAAAATAAAAAATAAATATTTTTTAATTAAGAGGTTACAAAAAGTACTTTAAACAAAACTAATTTAAGTACACTTAATGTTTAGGTTGCCACATGTATTTGGCATTAGACTTTACTACAGTCCACCAATTTGGTCCTTTAGTAGTATTCAGAAAATATTTAAAATTCAAACAATTTACTTCAAAGTTCAGTCTTATTATCACTAACTCTTTATTAAATCAAAGGTTATACGTTAACTTTCCAAAAAGCTGTTTGTCTGGAGACCATTCAAAATGTCGGGAGAATCCACACGAATCCCGACCATCTGGCAACCCTAATTACGAGTATAATTGCGTTTCTAACCAGCGACGTGATGCCGATTGGTTCGATGCTCATTTCTCATCCATTTAAGCAAACATATCTTTAAATATACTAGAAATATTATAAACCTTACTAATATTCCCGTTAACCCTTCTAAGTAAGCTTAAAACTCTCTTGGGGGTTGGGTTCACGACGGTATGCGAATGGCTGATTCGACTTTTGTTTACCCATTCGGCAACTGTCGCTTATTTATTTTCATTCTTATTTATGATGTTTACTTCTGTTTCAAAAAGTCCTTCCTCTGCTGCTGCAACTTCTGCTCCAGTAGCGTGACCTTCTCCTGATATTTAGCGTTCTCCCTCGTCAGCGCTTGTATAGTGGAGTCTTTTCTAGCCACTGCTATTTTAACTCTGAAAGAAAACTACTTTTAAAAGAGCTGAAGTGGCTGAACAATGTTCTTCCTTATTCATCACCTGCCTTTAGAAAGCTCTGCTAGACATAGGCCTCTATCATTGCAGTTTTGCTTTAACAATCACGCGTGGCAAACAGTTTCACCATCGCTGTAGCAGACGTAATGCATAATTGATACTGCTCCCCGTCTCTGGTCTGGTTATTTTACGTCTTGTGTAACAGTATACCACCGTATGGGAAACCGTAAGATTTTTTTTTTATATAAGATAGGGTGACAAACGAGCACACAGTCCACTGATGGTAAGTGGTTGCTGTGGCCCATAGACATCTACATCTATCCTCGATTACAAATCAAAATGCAGATGCGTTGTCACCCGTGAGGACTGAGATGGAATGCCTCATTTCCAGTAAAAAGGATCTCCGGTTCTCTATACTCACCATACGAAACACAGCAGCTTTAAGCTACTATTTGACGCTGGTATTCTGTGAGAGCGTGGTCTTTCCCCGGTCGAGTCGACCCGTTCATGCTAGAACTATACTACTAATATAACTGCAGCATGGCTTTACCAAATCTCTCTGGCTTTACTCTTAGTCACCTCTTACGATAACCATAAGATGAAATAAGGTTATGGGATCTCTAAAGCTTCCATTACATGACGTAACTCTATATTTATTAATTTCACACATTACACATGTATTTGGATACTTTAGTAGTATTCGGAAAATATTTAAAATTTAAACAGTTTACTTCATAGTTAAGTCTAATTACTAACTCAGCTTTTATTAAATCAAAAGCTATACGTTAACTTTCTGTGAAGCTGTTTGTGTGGATTTTTATTATATACTTTAAGATTTGTTCGGAGTCTGGAGATCATTTAAAATGTCGGGAGAATCCTAACGAATCCCAACCATCTGGCAACCCTAGGTCCACTACCTAGGTTTATCATCGGCGATTTTTCCGATACGACTTAAGGATATTTAAAAACGATTTTACTCCTTTTTAAAGGCCGACCGCACGTGCAATTGCCTGTGTGTTGCAGTTGTTCATAGTCGGCGGTTGAAACTAAAAAAAAAACGTAATAATCTACTCCCAAACTAAAAAAAAACGAATGCGAAAATTACTTGGCATAAAGCTGATGCATTTGCTCGTCGTGTTTTATCCTCGTGTCCTCCAGCTCTTTGTTTAAGGCGTCCATTTTGTTCTTCCACGCTTCATCGCAGCTTGCTCGTATCTCCTCCGCTCGGTTTTCCAATTGGATGTTTTTCTACATACGGGTCAAAAGTCGTTACTTTACAAAAATGATAAAAAAAAAACAATGGTAATGGCGTTACTACATTTAATAGTACTAAGTGGTACTAAGCCCGCGTGGCCGAGTGATGGAGCTATGGAGTGCAGAAGTAAGGAGTACCAACTCCTATAGTAGAATAGTTGAAAAAGTGTCCATCTGTAAGCGGTAAATAACAGTTCAAAAACTCTCCACCACAGCGCTGGAGTAGCTACTGGGATAAAATGAACTTAGCAGTTGTCGACGGTTTGTAGTGTGCTGCTAAACTGCTCAGTAGCTTTAAAATCTAAAATAATTTTATTTAGTAAATATAACCTCGAAAAAGTTGTCTATCCTACTAATATTTCTCGGCACGTTCTTTAAAATTTAGCCCGTAGCTATAGTGGCGCCACCCTTATTTAATGGTTTTCTATCTTCGATCAACAATACCAACTAGATAACGGGTCACGTACAAAATCATAGCTAAATACTGTCCGCATGAATATAAACTATGAAAATACATAAATTAAATAACATTTAGTGTGAAATCAACCTTAAGTGTAAAACAAATAAAGTTCTTTTTCCCGTTATTGCCTTGCGAGCTACACTCTCACATGCAAGAGCTCACGTCTCATGTGCGCTCTTACTTACTGAGATATATTTTTTGCGCCGTCCCGACATCTAGTTGGTAGTTGATCAAAGTTTTCTATGGACACTTTTTAATTAACAGTCGTAAGAGGCAGAGAAATATGGCAGTAGGATCTTATGACTTCCGACAGATGGCGGTACAACCATCTCGTTTACGATACGTGTAAAATAGATCTTGTAAATATTGACTTATTTTCAAAATTATTCGTTGTGCTTAAACCATGATAGTCGTTTTATTTATTTATTTATTTAACCTTTAGTGTGTACACACCTTATAACAAGGAATATACGAGTAAAGGGCACACTTAATGTCTCATACCATTCTTTACCAGTCAACTACTGGATGATTTGAGAAAACTGTGGTAGGTGTTAACAATTAGTTCATTACAACAGTTTAGTAAATAAGTAATAAAGACATAAGGTACAATAAAATGCAAATAAATAGAGTATGCTTAATAAAAAGTAGTAATCTTTTTTTAATAATTGTACCGACACAAATAAATAATTCGTGTTTTGCACAAATAATGGCACTACCTTTTTTTATAGCATAAATGTGGCAAATGAGCACACAGTCCTCCTGATGGTAAGTGGACAACGAATCAAAATACATATGCGATGTCACCCCTGGGGACTAAGATGGAATGCCTCAATTCTAATAAAAAGGGTCTCCGGTTCTATACTCACCAAAAGAAACACAGCAGCGTTAAGCTGCTATTTGACGATAGTATTCTGTGAGAGGCTGGTCCTTCCTCCGTAGAGCCAACCCAACTATACCAGTAATATAACTACACCTAATATTAGAACTTGAGACCCGGTATTCTGTGTCAGACGTTTCACTCCTTAGAAGATGCTGCCCGTCATTGGACTGAGTATTTTACGACTATTGTTAACGAGGTGGGTATACCGCTATCGAAAACTGGTAACCATTAAATCTATCTGTTATTTCGACTAGTATTTATACTAAATAGGTTGATGGATTCACTTCAACCACCACTACACGAACCAAGGCAATGACCTCTTTAAAGTTAGATAAATTAATTTCCACATCTTTAATTCAATGGAATTACAACAAAGCCTTATTCTATTAACTATAAACACAAATAAAAATCATTGAGACAAATCCAAATATTTCTAAACGCGGTACGATTGAAGCGGTGTATTATGAAAGCGTTGTTTAATTTGATAGGAGTCAAAATGTTGGTTACCTCTGTCAGAACTTTATTTCTCGTTTCGAGCTGGCCGATGGCGACCTCCAGCTCTGCGCCTGGATTATATTTCACTGGTTTAATTTCAATACGTAAGTAACGGTGTAGTGTGGCGTAAAAAAGTTCACCACCCCATATTAACCCGTAGTTGTCGTAAGACACGACAAAGGGACATTAAGTAGGAGACTGAAGCATAATCCTGATATCAATCAGAATTAAAAAGAAATTACGATTTCCAACTCGCCTGCCAAGGGTGGCAAATAAGACAAATGAGGGATATTTACCCTATGAGGAATAGGGGCGGCTTATATTCGACAGTGAAGTTTTGATAGGTTATATAATCAATTAAGGTATAACTGTTGTAAGGTTAAATTAACCATGTAGTGGCGGTGTAAGAATATCCACTAGCCCATATCGTCCCGTGGGTGTCGTAAGAGGCGACAGAAGGGAACTGAAACAGGAACAGGAGATGGGCAGCAGCATATTCCTGTTACTTACTTACTAATCTTCACGCACAATCCTTAACGGGGTAGCCAGAGAGAACAGATCGCCAAGTGTCACGATCCTTACAAACCTCTTTCGCTTCTTTCATGTTCATTAACATCTTCATACATGCACGTCTATGTATCCGAGTACTCTTGACCTTCCCCTCTTCGAGTAATTTGCTCACATGGTCTTCGAAAGTTAGTCTCGGTCTACTTCGACACCTTTTAATATTTACTTTCGCGCTATATATTTTCTTCACCATTCGGTCTTCACTCATTCGCTCAACGTGCCCAAACCGTCGGAGTACGCCCGTATCAATTTTTGTGATAAGGTCATCTTTCAATCCTGCCATATTGCGAATCTCTTCGTTTCGCTTTCGGTCGGCTATGGTAACGCCGCACATTTTACGAAGAGATCGCATCTCCACTGCATTCAACTTGCTTTTATGCTTCTTCTGGCATACCCAGGTTTCGCTGCCATATAACAAAGTCGGCACCAACACTGCATTATGTATTGCACGGCGTGCACTCTTCACTACGCCTTACCTTTTGACTAACGCATTCAGGGCACCATTGACTTTGTTCCCGGCAGCGACACGCCTGTCCACATCTAAATCACATCTTTCATCCCGGCTGAAAGCATCACCCCAAGTATACAATTTCATTTACCTGTTCTAGACATTCCTGATTTACCCATATTTCACATTTCGTTCTCTCTTCGTCCTTTTCAAATACCAGAACCTTAGTTTTATTAGCATTCAAACGGAGACCTTTAATTTCACATTCCTCTTTCATACACGTGACTAATGCCTGCAGTTCTGCTTCTGATGGTGCAATAAGCACTGCATCATCAGCATCGCATATTCCTGTTCAAAATAATAAATAAATGCGGTTGCCAAGCATGGCAACCATGGCAAAATTCCTCCATGGGGCAATCTATTAGAGAGACCTATGTCCAGCAGTGGACTTTTATAGACTGTCATTGAATGGATAAATGAATAAAATAACGAAATATTTTGTGATATATTAAGGGTGAATAAGGCTACCAGATTGTAAGTGAACGCTTTGCTTCATGCACACTTGCATCTATTCTGAGGACTAAGACGAAAACTACATACGTGGTAGAGTCACGCTGCAGCAATATTATGTTTGAAGCACGAATGGTTCGCCGCGACCAGCTAAGGACCACGCTCTCACAGAATACCAGCGTGAAATAGCAGCTTAATACTGCTGTGTTTCGTATGGTCAGTGTAGAGATCCCCTTTTAGCTGGATACGAGGCATTCCATCTTAGTCCTCAGGGTTGACTACGCATCTGCGATTTAATTCTTAATCGAGGATAAGTGTAAATGTCTACGGGCCACAGCATCTACTTACCATCAGATGGACTATATGCTCGCTTGTCACTCCTATTCTATAAAAAAATGCGCAAATGCAAGGAATGCGTTGCAAGTAAAAAAGCTCTACAGTTCTCGTCACTCACAATAGAATACTGCAGCGTTATATAGCTATTTTACGCTTGTATTCTGTAAGAGCGTGACCTTCTGGACATGGATCCGTAAAACGTCAGGGGATGAATCCACAAAATGTCCAGGATTAAATTTGTGAACGTCTGGGGTTGAACACATAAATAAACGACTGTAAATAAATCTGTAAAACATCTGGGAATGAATCCTTAAAATGTCTAGGAATAAATGCATTAAGCGTTTGAGGGTTGAGCTTTGATATTAGTTATAGCATTAATGGGTCAGGTTCCCGCTGCTGTGATTCGTATGGTGAATGAGAATCGGATACCCTTTTTACTGCGATCGAGGCATTCCATCTTAGTCCTCAGGAGTGACAACGCATTTACATTTTGATCCTTAATTGAGGATAAATGTGGATGTCTATAGGCCACAGTATTCACTTACCATCAAGTGGACTGTGTGCTCGTTTGTCACTCAATCCTATAAACAAAAGAAAAAAAGAAAAATTATTTGTATACATACATAAATCTTTAAAACGAACGGGGATAAATCCGAAAAACACCTGGGGTATTAATTCGTACAACATTTGGGGTTGAATCCGAACGTCTAGGGATGAATCCGTAACAAGTCTGGTTATACATAACAAAACTAACAGCGGTCCTCCGTGTGCCGCACTCGCGCCTGAGCGTCCTGGTATCGCTTCAGTGTTGCCTGCTCAGTCTCCGCTAGCTCCCTCAGCTCCATCTCGTACTGTTCTTTGTTTCTCCTATGTGAGTGAATAAAAAATATTCTTCAATTATAAGTGACAAAGTCTTTAGTTTAACACCGTAACCATAACAAACGTTTCTGACCTTAAAATCTGCATTCTCAAGCGTTTAGTAATAAAAAAAATATATAATTTCTTTGGCGTACAATAAATATTTCAAAATCATAAATACATTTATGTTTAAGAGGAGTATTACAAAAAAACGTAAAATTACAGAGTCGTTGACATTATATATTTTCCGTTCGTTGCTTGAAATAACAATTACTTGGTAAAAATTAGATTTAGAGGCAAATTTTAGATAACTTATTTATTTATTTAGTAATAGTCATTCTCCCGATGCATGTATAGGCCAAAACTCTGAGAGACATGATTTGGAAGCTCTGATTTGTACATTCTATTGAATATCGACCATCAAAAAAAGTATTTTTATCGCACAAATATCCTACACTTTAATAACGATAAAATATATTTTCGTTATATGCCTTTCAAGTAAGGAAAAAATCGACATAATTCAATTAACGACCGAAAAAGCTTCGATACAAGCCCCAATACCTCTGAAGTTCTACGGCATTTAGACATAAAATTTATACCAAAATAATCATCAACCATTGCTTAAACTATACTATGATTTTCACTTTTTAAATCGTTACTATTATTTATTAATTAATTAAATAAAAGTACCATATATTTCACTGCGCCGGCCATCTGAATGCACTACCGCGCGAGCGGTTGTCGAGGTTGGACCTGTGTCAGTTGATTTCGCGTGCTCCGTCTCGTTTCGATATTATCGTAGTGTGCGTCGATTGCCGTTACAAGCGCTGCTATTTTGGCCTGAGTTCCGAAATAGAATTTAACTACGATCCTAGTTTTTGATCGTTGGAAGTATTTACTTTCGTACAGTATATTTCTATTAGTGTAAAAAGTTCGCACATTCTTATTATACCAGATAGTTAACTCATTATATTTATATTAATTGTAGCTGAGCTTTCTTACCAGTCGGAATGGGGAAAAATAAATACAAGTATCAATGTGTCACTAAACGTAAAAAATAAATATTTCATCTCTGGAGAAATAATAATGAAGATTAAAAATGTCTGCAAGCTTGCCATATGGACTGGCCCAGATTATGCAGTAAAGGTACTAAAAATCTACAAAGACGACAAATTTTGGATTTTGAATGTATATGTTACCCAAGTTACAAGCGTTTTATAAAAAGTGTGTTAGATAAGTTCGGTCAATGCCGTTGCGGCAAATATTCTTATAATAAAAAATATGGTAATTGACTGTAGGTATCGATTAAAAATATTAGTTACAGTTGGTTATTTTATTTATTAAAACAGGTTGCAATCGTACTATTTATTTATTTATACCACTATGCTACCGTTAGTAGATATAATCGATTATTAACCAACATCGGTTAACAATCGATTACTGCGAACAATTAAAATATTTACATGAACTTATTTCAACACCAAGGTTCATAAATAATGAAAAATATATCGAATAGATTATATTAAATTAATTAGATATCATAAAAATGACACCAAAATTTTTCCATCCACTGAACTCCATCCTAAGGAATCTCGTATAATGGAAGATCAAGATCGTTTAGTCGCTATACTCACAGTATTGTTACGAGCTTGAGGTTCGTGACAATAAAAATTGCCGATAGAATTACCTAAATTAACTCTTTAATTCACTTTACACTAATTAAACTTAAAACACTAATAATTACTCACACTGATTCACTTTATTCCGCTCCGAAGCTTCGCTTGTCTCGCCAAATTCAATACTTACCTGATCGCACCTTGCAGCGCCTATAAATACACATTAGCACCGAAACATCCAGAACATTCAAGTAAATACGCGCAAGGCGTCGAACGTCCGAGTGTCGGCTTCTAGAAGCTTAGTTCTTCGTTTCGACACTAGATGGCGCTGTCGGTTGAAAGATTAGTGATGTCATTTTCTGGAAAGTTCCCCCCCGCTCTCGTCCCTGACACAACATGACGTCGGCGCCCTCCCCTCCTCCCCGTCCCTCTTGCGCCTTTCTGTATCCGGTAGGTTACATCGTTGATCCTGGTTACAATCCGGTACGGGCCGTCCCATTTAGCTTGAAGCTTAGGAGATTTCCCTTTGCTGCGGACTGGATTGTGCAACCACACTAGTGAACCTTCGTCGAACCGTCATACCGGGTTTTCATCTTCTCAGACATTTGCTGGCCCGATTGTCTTTAATTGCTCATTCCGCAAATGTCATTTGCATAATCGGTTATACTGCGTGGGGCATCAGGTGGTATCCCGGTGATCAGGTCTGCAGGTAGTCGTAATTCTCTTCCAAAGTTTGCTAAAGCTGGTGTCACCGCTGTACTTTCGTGAACAGCGCTTCGATATGACAACAAAAACGGTTGTATGTGCTTGTCCCAATTGCTCGTTTGCCGATTGTCTACAACTTTTGCTAGGTACCTCTTCAATGTCTGATTAAATCGTTCTACCAATCCATCAGATTGCGGGTGATAAGAAGTCATTCTTGTTTTATGAGTACCCATAACGCGGCAAGTTTCCTGGAATATTTGAGACTCAAAATTCCTTCCTTGATCGCTGTGAATCTCTAAAGGTACTTCCAAAACGACAGAAGACTTCATGATAGTTTATCTGCAACTGTTGAAGCTTCTTGATTTGGAATGGCGAAGACTTATGGCCACTTAGTGACGTAATCCATCACAACCATGAAATACTTGTTACCGCTTTCGCTCTCCGGAAACGGCCCCACCATTGGCTATTCTCTCCCATGGTGCACCAACATTGTACAACTTCAACGCACTTCTACTACGAGTCTGAGGTCAGGAACTAACAACCGTACGAGAGGCTCCAGTATCTATGGTCAGTTTACACCGCATTCCGTTGACCTCGCCCTTGATGATCAGACTGTTCCCATCATGGGTTTGTGAGATCGAGATCCTTGGGGCTCTTTTAACATCAGCCAGCACCCGCCCCGCAGTTCTGGCTTTTACTCGTTTCCCTGCTGCTGCTGGGCGGGGCTGTTAGCCGCACCACCCTCCTGATATCGTTCACCTTCCGTTTCTACGTTTCGCTTAGGGCAGCTGGATCGAAGATGGCCCCTTTCCCCACAGCCATAGCACCTAGGGCTGTATCCTTTATTGCGGTCGCGAACCGTAGCTGCTGCAACCTCCCTGACGCGATGGGAGCGAAGATCCTGCCGCACTTCCACCTCCAGTGCATGGGCCAAGGCGTCCTAGCATCTCGTGGTGCCCGAGCCTCACAGCAGCTTTGACTTCTAGGTCACGGATGCCGTCGATGAATGTCTGAACCAGGTTCCCTTCAATGAGCGCAGGTACAGACTGGTATACTTTTCGAACCATCTTCTCCACCTCAAGGGCCCACTGCTGCAGGTTTTCGTTGCTGCGTTGCACGCGATCTTTAAGCTGTGCGCGAAAGACGTGTTTCAGGTGAGCGTCGCCATATCTTGCCTCCAACTCCTCAAGGAGCTGCTCGTAGGTTACTTTCTTACCGAGAGCTTCCAACACAGTTAAGGCTTGGTCGCGCAGGCCTAGGGTAAGTGCAGTCATGGCTTGGCTTTTATTCCAGCCGTTCGCCTCCATGACGGCCTCGAACTGGATTTTGTAGGCCGACCAGGAAGAAGTCCCGTCGAACGGCGGCACTTTGAATCCACGTAGCGAAGGTGTTGTAGCTACTACGGGAGCTGTTGTTCCATCCCCAAGTTTGAGATCGTCCAGCGTTTTCTTCACGTCAGCCATCACGTTGTCAACCCGATTGTTCACATGGTTGATTCGGGTTTCATGTTCTTCGATTCGGTTTTCAGCTTCCGACAGGCGGTTGTCATGTTGAGCAACCCTATCCTTCACCTCCCTTATCTCTTTCCCAAAGGTAGCGTGAAGGTCCTTCATGAGGAGCATCTACTCTTCCGACCGACGAGCCTGTTGCTCTTGTCGACGGGCCTGTTCCTCCTTTCCGCCCCGCAGCTGCTGCAGCATCACCATCAGAGCACCTAAGTCAGGTGCTACAGACGTAGGAGCTGCTGATGGGCCGGCCTCCGTGGCCGGCGGCTGGCCCTCAGACGTCTGCGGCGTTACACCACCAAATCGTCCCTGGTCCGTCTCCTGCTGGCGTTGACTTCAGGTACGGACACCCTCCGATTCCTCCTTCGGTAAAATCGGCATGATTTGATCCCACTTCTGACACCAATTGTTACGAGCTAGAATTACCAAAATTAACTCTTTAATTCACTTTACACTAATTAAACTTAAAACACTAATAATTAATCACATTGATTCACTTTATTCCGCTCCGAAGCTTCGCTTGTCTCGCCAAATTCAATACTTTCCCGATCGCACCTTGCAGCGCCTATAAATACACATTAGCACCGAAACATCCAGAACATTCAAGTAAATACGCGCAAGGCGTCGAACGTTCGAGTGTCGGCTTCTAGAAGCTTAGTTCTTCGTTTCGACACTAGATGGCGCTGTCGGTTGAAAGATTAGTGATGTCATTTTCTGGAAAGTTCCCCCCGCTCTCATCCCTGACACAACATGACGTTAACTTAGGCGCGCAACAGTATTATAGTGCAAGCGAGTGAATATATATGAAATAAAGTATTGCTCGTGTAGGTCGCCGCCCGCTTGGAGCGTAAAATATCTAAATTTGCGTAACGCCGAAATGTAGAGTGCTTTTAATAATATTACGAAAATAGAATAAAAACGAACTTTTACGAACAACAACAACTCTCAGGGTTATCTGTCAATGAGATTCTGTCATTATATGTCGAAACTATTCTGTGCACTTAATTAAATCTTATGTTTTTGGTTAATTAAGGTGGCCATTAGTCGATGGCACGAACTAAGTGGTGGGCTGGGCAAAAATGCTTGCTATCTCAGCCGACATCATTTACGAAAGGGATAGACGCTGTAATGAGCAGTAAGAAGCTAGTGCGCACACACATACGCATTCGAGTGACGCAATACGCGACGGCGTCATCGCGTACCTATCTATGCGATTCATTTTTGAATAATAACATAAACACGGCGATTGTGAGCGCCGTGGCGCAGTGGCTGCCCTGGGGGCCGCGATAGTAATATGTATATTAAATCTTGTAAGATGGTACGGAAGCTCGGAAGTCGGATTCGCACTTGGCAAATATTTGTTTATATTTAACCTTACCTCAGACATACTCATATTTTTTATATATAATTTACTATACTACTATATAAGCTACTACTAAATAAAATAGTAGTAGTTTTGCTATGGTATTATAGTATATATTTTGGTTTAGATTAAATTTATTACAGAATAATACGAACTATATAAAAATTAAGGAGCGCATCAACCTACCTCAGATATTGGGTTATAAATACAGATAAGTACAAATAGGATTTAGTTTCTAAGTTGTACAAATTTTATAGCCTTCGTTATCAATAGCATAAACAGGCCAAGCCCTCTAGCCTACAAACGTTTCGTAACGAATCTCTTTCTACAATCGCGCCTTTTATTTGTTTGGACTGACGACCTAACTCGTTCAGTGATGTCATTCCCATACAGTGTTTAGTTTTCAACTAGCGTTATCTATCATAATATAAATCAAAATTTTATTTATATTTCGCTAATTGTATCTGTACTGTGAATTTGATTTACAATTGATCTCTAAATTGTAGTTTTCTTCTAATTACTTACCTTGTCTAGACGTGTTCTTTGGACTTCTATAAGGAAGTCTGTGCTGTTAGTATTCCGTTTATATACGTTACTATTTTGATAGACGTTTGTGCTTGTCCCCGCAGTGACACAATGCCTATTGTTGATAACTTTCTAAGTACTAAGAGAATATTGAAAACCGCTATTGAACACAAACAATCAATAAACAATTTACAAACTAACATTTTTTATTTATTTAATTAACCTTTATAAAAGCCCCACTCACATCAAAATCGCGCTGTCGAAAAAGCAGTTATCCTGAAACTGGCTGGCATATACTTCGGGGAGTCGCCTGTGGGCTGTGGGCTATTATAGCTAACTAGCTATGTTAAGTAAATACCTATTTAGAATTCATAGTAACTACAGTAATGTTTGCATAACCTACAATAAAATATAAAAACATAAAAAAATTTAATTATTTTACACTTTTTTCTGTTTTAGAAGTCGATTATATTTTTTTTTCAAAATTTTTTTTTATGTTGCTATTTTTTGTTGAGAGTTATGTCCCTTTAGTGGGTACAGGCGTGATATTATACTGTGTGGTTGCCTAAAGAATGCATGGGTACGCGATAGCAGCAATCGCGGTTGATATGCTGTCATTTATTGAAGAGTTCCCTCGATTTCTCCAAGATCCCATCATCAGATCCTGGTCTGACCAAAATAATTTTCCAAATCAATTCAGGCATCTTCGAGAAATCGGGGAACAGAACATACATAACCAAAAAACAACGAATGGAGAACCGCCTCCTTTTTTCGAAGTCGGTTAAAAAGTAGGTAAAAACAAATCAATGAAATTATTATATAATAACAACATCTACTTAAATTCACATAAGAACTTTCATAATTACAACTAAATTGGGTTCATAATAATAACACCAATTTGTTTCCTCTCTCTTTTTTCTTTTTAAAATACGTTACCCCAACAGTAAGATTTTCTCCTTTATCGTGAAGGCAGTTTACAAACATAAATTGCACAAGGATAAACATCCAGACCCGGAACGACTATTTGTAGGCCATACAAATATTTGTTCCGCGCGGGATTCGAACCCGCGGCCCCCAGCGCAGCCACTGCGCCACGGAGCTTTCAATTGCGGTTTAAGTTTATGTTGTCATTCAAAAAAGAATCGCAATATTATGTAGGTACACGAGGACGTCGTCGCTTTGCGTCACTCAGGAGTACGTATGTGTGTGCGCACTAGCTTTTTACTGCTCATCACAGCGTCGATCCCTTTCGCACGTGATGTCGGCTGAGATAGCATGAATTTTAACCCTGGCTACCATTTAGTTCGAGCTATCGACTAGGGCCACCTTAGTTTTATACATCATTCATTTCATTATCATTCAAGCATGTATTAACCCCATATCGTCATTATCGTCCTGTAGGTGTTGTGAAAGAGGTCTACAGGAAAAGCAAAAAAAACTCATAGCCTTCCATAGGTGACGGTGACCATCTTGTCTATGTCTATACCACATGTAACATATCCAAACAGGTGACGGCCAGGGCCGGATTGACCTAAGCCTAAGGCAAAGTAGGGAACTTCGTAGGGGTCCCGCGTCGCTTAAAGGCCCCGTAAAAGACTTTAACAGACTATAACAGCATGGCACATAAAAAAAGAAAAATATGAAATAATTAAATCATGAGAAGACAGCAATCACGAAAACTAAATTACCGATATTAAAACTGTAGGCCAATTGATGTACATATAAGATATAAGTCCAGTAAAGTTTTCTCATTGCAGTTTTCTTTTGGCAAGACTATTCGCACTTACCTCAAAGCATGAATGAATGAATGAATATACTTTTATTGTACACCACAAACAAATATACAGATAACAAAACAAAAAGCAGATTATAATATTATGTAAGTACAATTTGGCGGCCTTATCGCTACACAGCGATCTCTTCCAGGCAACCAAAGGTGTAAGGATTAGAACAGTGAAAACTAGGTAGGTGGTGCAATATAAATGTACATAATATAATATTAATACACGAGATTTATAGACAATGCAATAAAATAACATACAAATAACTAATACATGAAATTGTATAAATTACTAAAATATAATAAAAATAATGTAAAACATTAATGTAAAACAATATTTATAAATATATAAACAAACTTACACATTTACATACATATATATATATATATATATATATATATATATATATATATATATATATATATATATATATATATATATATAATCATCCTTTCACGGTAAATGTTGATCCAGTGAGAAGTTAGAACAATTGTTGATCCACCTATTTGACGTGTTTGCTCAGCTCCTCGTCGCACAAACTGATATACTTTGATCCATTCTTGATGCGCGTGTGACGTCGGTGGATCTGCACTAACAGGATTTCAATATACTCGTCAGCGATTTGACCAACATTTGTTGATCTATCAACGGTCGAAAAAATCATACTGAATATGATTTTTTAGATCCAGAGTATATTTAATTTATATGCGACATTTACTTAGACTAAGTGGATCCGGAGCCATAATTGACGAATAGGTACTCGAACATGAAGCGGAAACGTCGCGTTCTGTGTGTGACAGAGAACCCAGTAGGCTACTTCGTTATAGTAATAAAGTAAGAAAATAAGTTTTCTGCTGATTTTGTGGATCAAACTTTGGCAGGTTTTATTGTGGAAAGACGTTTGTTCGAGTTTTTGTTATCGTGTGAGTGAATTTGTGTTATGTCGCCGTTGCCACCACTTCGCTACTAGAAGGGGCGTTGTCGAGTAATTCGTTAAAAAAGTCGTTTATTTCGATCACAAGGATCATAGATGTTGGTAATAATACAAAACTTAAAACTAATTTTTGTAAAACTTAAAACTGTTTACCTAATTTTAAAACTATATATAAGACAGGCCCGATTAGTCAGCACGTGCACCATATGACAATGGTTCAGGTACTGACCTCAATTCTGTCAGAAAATGCCCTCAGGATACCATTGGAACTGGCCCGCACCCTGCGCACCGAGGATGTGCATCGTTTACGCATGGTGGTGTAGAAACAATCATACATACATACAACGAACATACCCGGCGCATTACAATAACGAGGTAGACCAAACAGCACCCTGAATGCATTTCATAACATGCATTTAATCTGTAGCTTTTACCGCCAAAGATACGAAACGGCAACGTTGCGGCTGCATACAGCCAATCCGATCGTTTATCTTATCGTTTGCTGTGCTCTGATTGGCTCATTTAAATCGGATCAACATTTTCCGTAACCATAGCAAGGTGGATTTGTATATCGGATCAACTTCGGCCAACGCGAGCAAACAGTCTCGTGAGTGCAGATGTTGATCCGGTCGGAGCCACATTAGTTACCAAAGATGCATATTGGATCAACAAAAGGCGCCGGATCAACATGAGTTTTCGGATCAACAAAGTGCTCGCGTGAAGTCGCGTCTGATCAACATTTACCGTAAAGAGATCTATATATATATATATATATTCAATATATATATATATATATATATATATATATATATATATATATATATATATATATATGAATAACAAAATTCCTCAAACAATAATATAAAGCAGATAAATACAACAGATACATAATCACTTAATTTATTCTAACGGTGTTCAAACGACTGAGACAAGTAATGCTCTTTAAGTAGTTACCTCAAAGCATCTTGCAGCTCTCTCCTTCCAGCTTGCGCTTCTGCCTCCATACTCTCTATAGCTTTCTCTATCTCTCTGTCTCGCTCTAGTTTATATTGCGCAGATATCTCTGCCACTTTCTTCTTTAATATAATTTGCTGTTGCGCTTCGAACTCCTTTTTATGCTTTTCAAATTCTTCCTCTAGCTCAGCGCATTTTTCTTTCAATTGTTCCTGCAGAAATATACTATAAAATAGAATAATACCTAAAATGTAGACAAGTAATTAGCCGTAGCGCTTAGGAAAGCGAGTTCGGTATCCACAGTACTAATTAAAGTAATTCTTTTGGGATCTAGTTCCTTACCCAAGTGCAATTTACGTATGTAGTACACCTCCACGTTACATGAAGAATTCCTAGTGGTAGGTAAATTTTTAATAAAAATAAAAGAAGTTAATTTTGACATTTCAGATCAATAAAGAAAAAACCGTGCTCTTCGTATTATAGGAATACACACTCACGTACGCCATACATTTCTTGGTTTTATTATAGGCCTCCCCTAAATAGTGCCTCAACCGCTACGAAATCATTATAATAAATATATACAAGACTATAGATAAACAACATTTAGAATGAATATTTTTTTTATTTTGTTATGGAAATTGTAAACTTATATGTATCAAACCGCTATATGTTGCAATTTCGATCACAGTGATAAACATAGAAATAATTTATATAAATTAAGTACTAATTCTAGAACATGGCAATATATTCCCACCTTGAATGGTGTAACTCAACGGAAAAAAATGGGTGATACCTACCCAGGCGAACTCCTAAGTGGAAATGTAGTCTTACTGCAGAGATCAACTTCGCTAAGCCGCCCAGCCTAATTACAAGTTTGATGTTTAGATTATAATAGCGTTTTTGATACGTTTATTGACAATTACCTCAAGTTTTGCCTTCTCTGCAGCTATATCCTTATCTAATTGCGCTCGTCTTTCTTCAAGCAATTTCTCCTGTTCTTCCTTCCATTTTTCTGAAATGGTATAATGGAATTTAATAAAAGTTAATAAAATATTAACCAAGTGATGGTGGCGCAAGAGAATTCATCACATTTCGTCTCATAGGTATCGTGAAGAGCAACTACTGGATAAGTAAAAATATTAATTACTTCGCAACCTTCCGCTAATTAAATACAATGATGTGTCTTATCTGGATTGAAGAGCACCTCCCGCACTCCCTCAATTGCATGCTCGTTCAACTCCGTCACCACTAGTCCCAGCACCACTACTCCAGGTAAGACACACCATCGATTCGCGATTGGGTCGGCGTGTATAAATAGCAGCTGTTTCGGCTCGCCGCTCACTTAGCGGTCAGCCGCCGTAGAGTCTACATCACCTGAGGATGTCTCGTGTAGAGGCGAAACACGTGTCGTATTGTCGTCGATGGTGTGTCTTACCTGGAGTAGTGGTGCTGGGACTAGTGGTGAAGGAGTTAGTGCATGCAATTGAGGGAGGGCGGGAGGTGCTCTTCAATCCAGGTAAGAGCGAGGCCCCATTAGTGCGTTGCGCTGCATTGCGTCGTCGCTGCGTCGTTTTCCATACATTTTTTATGACATGCCCTATTAGACCGTTGCGTCGTCGCGCGCGACATTTCAACGGATCGACGGACAAGAGACGAAGCGGGAGGGAGGGTGATGCGCTACGTTGTCGGAGCTCCGCTGCGACGACGGACAGTGACGCACTGCACATTTTTTATCTTACCATGAGTGAGCAGGATATTGATATAGATTTTCTCATATCCTTGGTCCAAGAAAGACCCAGGTTTTAAGGTTTCAACCAAATTATTAAAGCTGGCCACACTCATTCTAAAAAAATTGAAAAAAGTCTTTTCATCTAATAACAACTCCCTATATTCCTGCATAAAAAACTGACCATCACTATTTCTTAATGCTATCAAAGGAGATATCCAGAATCCAGTGGATAATCTTCACTACCCCATATCATCCGGTGGGTGTCGTAAGAGGCGACGGAGGGTAACAAATCAGGAGATAGGCAGCAATGTCTTTCTAATAAAATAAAATAAAAACTGCGGTTGCCAACCCGATTGCCAAGCGTGCCTACCATGGTAATCCCCCCTATTAGACAATCTATGGGGGAGACCTATGTTCAGCAGTGGACTTTAATCATAGAATACTATAATCCACAATAGAATGGCTGTCGACTTTATTTTGTACGAGGCTTGGCGTCGCCAAACCCGATTCGCTGTGTTGACAGACTGAGTAAATTTACACATTTTAGACTTTTGATTAATGTTCAAGATTATTATTAAAAAACGTTTAAATTTTAATACATATTTATTTGTAAATAGGGTGCAATTTGGCATTTTCTAAATAATTTGCATGCAAATTTCGGAAACGATTGTAACGTCAAAACACATCTCGTGTTGACATTTATACGTGTCAATTAAAGTGTTAGTGACATTTTAGTGGCTACACGGGCTCCGCCCACTCCCCCGTTCTATTATGTATGTATTATAGTATTCTGTGACGTTAATAAACTGTAACGGTAACGGTAATAGTGTACCCATGGTGGCGCGTTGTTGTTGCTCGCGCTCGCTCAGTTGTTGAGCGGCGCGCTCGCTCTCCGCTCGCAGTTCGCTCACGAGCCGCGTCCGCTGTTCTTGATACGTTCTCTCTATTTCTAAAATCTGCTTCTCCAGTCTGCAATTTTGAAATTATTGACAGTTTGCACTTCCGATTGTCATTTGGTGAAACTTCATCTCCATTTTTGTAGTATGGGTATACATGTGTACTTATTTCAATAATATTTATTTTAATTAACTCATGTATTTACTATAAAACCGACCAGTATTGCCTGACATCAGGGTATATAATAGGAACAATGAACATATACGAACCCTTGCACCCTCCTTTTTGCCCTCCTTTCTGCCAAGGAGGGTCGCGTTCGTATACGGCTTAGAGATCTCTAGTTAGACCGTTAAGCCAGTCCCTAAAAGGCGGTGTTTAGTGGGTAAAAGTCTCCACATAACCACGCAGCCGGCTGCGTGGTATGCTATGAGCATTCACCGCCTCCCTCCTCCGCTTTCCGGAGGGTTGCCCATATTTGCTTCGGGCGCAAAAAAAAACATATACGAAGATATTATTTTAAGAAGATATTGTTTAAGAAAAATGTCCTCCAGACGGAATTCAGGTCACGGCGACCTGTCTCAACGGAGACTAGACATCGGTGCAGGACAGGATAAAGAGCCCAAGTGTATGCCGCAAGCACAGATGCACTCTCTATTCCCCCACTCTCATAATCCGATGGGACGGTAAACTGACACGACCGGAGAGAGATCAGACGCAGGATCAACGGCTTTACATGCTTTCCGAGGCACGGGGGTAAGACACCGCCAAATTCCTGACTCTGGGCAGCTACTGAAAATTTCTTGACGGAAAAACTCGTGAATGATTTTTTGGCCTGACCCCAGATTCAAACCCAGTACCTCATGATCAGCAGTCATAAGTTTAAGAATACTCTCAATGTGACCAATTTTCATTGCCACGCAGCAGCTATATATTATAGTTGTCACACAAAGAGGTCGGCTCGACCGAGGCAGGACCACACTGACATAGAATAGCAGCTTAATGCTGCTGTGTTTCAGGTGTTGTATGGTGAATGTAGAGAACCGAATACCCTTGTTACTGGAAACGAGACATTCCATCTTAGTCCTCAGGGGCAAGGACGGGTTATGTCGGACTCGCACCGACTAAAACCCCATGGTGTTCCACCTTCGTCGCATATTGGCAGGGCTACGGGAACGCTTTCGCACACTTCCGCGGCCCTACCAGCGACTGCCGCTCCATGGCAGCACCTCCTCGGGAGAGGAATATTCCTCCCCGTTCTCCTTCCCAAGTAAGGCGCACCAGAACACATGGCACGCCTTCCTCCACGGCCTCCAATTGCATCTGCGCAACAGACGCCCCCGCGTCCGATGTGCGAAGGCCATGGGGCCAGGAAAAACGAGCACTTAGAAGTACTAGCCTTCCCAACCCCAGCGGCGGATCTGGTCTATGGCTCCGCCGCCAACCAAGATTCGGCTGCGGAGGATAGGGAGAGCGGCGCCTCGCAATACCGACAATCCTCTCCCCCCGCAGCCCCATCACCACGGCATCAACGGTGCGGCCCCGTTTGAGTCGCGGAGGATAGGGCGAGTGGCGCATCGCCATACCAACACTTCTCTTCCTCCGCGACTCCACCTCGGCTGCAGCGGTAGAGGGTGCGGAGTCCCCACTCGCTGCAGTCCACCAGCACACATCCGAAGTGGGCTCCCGGAGGAGGAGGCACTCGGAGTGGCCACCTCAGGCCGGCCCTTCACCTCGGGCCAGCCACGTGGGTTCCTCTTTGTTCACCGTGGGCGACCAAGCCACGGCTACTAAGCCCCCCCGCCACGACAAGGCGGGAACCCGTTCGGGGGGGACATTTCTCTCCCTGACACTTAGATTCAGTCATATCATAATTCTTAATGAACGCATTTCTACAGCATTTATTCTACTCTCGTACTTCTTCTTCCACACCCAGCTTTCACTACAATACATTAAGAATACCTTTTTGACTCATTTTGACTTACCACACCAGCGTAAAGGACCCTATTTATTATATGCCCTTTGTATATAATTTGAATTTATTTCTTTTATAATGTTATGGGCTTGCGGTTCGTGACTATAAGAACTGACTATTGAATTACCAAAATTGACACTTCAATTACTGAACACCGACTACAAATTAAAACACACTAATAATAAAACACAATCGCTTTGAAGTATTCGCTTGAATTACCAATTGAATACTGACTCGGTTGTGGTCCTTACTGGCCATATATAGGGCCTTTTCCACTAAAACTTCTAGAATGTTCGAGCACATACCGGTCCCGACCGACTAGGTGTAGAATGTTCTAGTATGGAATTCTCTATAAAGCTCCCTAGTTCTGCTACTCGATACTAGATGGCGCTAGTGACATTAATTATGGCGCGCAACAATAAGTTTACCAAAACTGTTTACTAAATTTCTATTTTAAGTAAAATTAGATCTTTAGGAACTTATACAAATAAGGTGATAATTTGAGTACAAATTATGACGTCATTTCACTATAATCTCATACTATTTCGACAACCTATTTTATTGATTTTCATTTAAATTTAACTTTTTCTTTTATCTTAGTATACTCGACAAGGTTTTTGCGACCGGTCGGATGTCGACTAAACATTTTATAAAAAGTAAATACGAACTAGTAGCTACTAGTGTAGATACTTGTTTACTCCTCTTACTCTTTTATATATTTTGATATTTAAGCTTTAAGGAGAAAGTATGGCGTTAGTTTAAACTTTGACGACGAAACAGATATCAATCCAAATCCAATCCAAAATCCATATCATCCCACCACGTGTCATACGAAACCACAGTTATGATATGGCGACGGAAGGTAATGAAACAGGGCACTGGCAGCTACATCTTCCTGATGATATTCAAGTGGAAAATGTTCCCGTTTTGTCACACTTACTTAATAAAAAAGCTATTACCCAGAAATCAAAAGACAACAAACAGCGTTAAGCGTAGCGCATATGGCATATCCTTAAAAAGTATGGCTGTTGTGGGCTAATACAGAGTAAGAATAACCTGGAGCTGGCTAACTGTCTCTCTTTCACCAGTGAGTCTTCTTTTTCCTGCTCTAATGTCCTTCTCAGCTCCTCCAGTTCGTTCGCGTGCTTTGCCTGAGCCTTGCCCATTTGTTCAGCGTGCGCCATTTTCAAATCTGATATTTCTTTCTGCTGACGATCAGCCATTTCTCGAAGTTCGCTTTCCAGACCTTTGACAGTTAGCTCCTGAAATACATTGTTCAACTTTTTAATAGTTTTTAAAATAATCCTAGCGATGGTCAAGTACTCTAACTGAGCAACAAATTAAAAATAAGAATCGAATTCTTATGCATTTAATAGATTTTTTATTAAACGTACTCTCTTTTACATCGCCATAAAAAAGAAATAGGATTAACTAATCCGACAGTTTCATTTTATAAACCTGGCGTGCATATTTAAGGTAAATATAACAATATGCGATAACAACAGAAAATAAACAGATATGTCTTTAAATATCTCTTTTTAAATGTATTTTAGTTTGTTTTTGCCAATCCTACAAAACGCATTTGAAGTTCGTGTGCAATCCGAAACGAAATGTCAATTTGATTGTCCTACTCCTGCGCGCATAATTCTTGTATATTATAACTATAGTGTATAAACAGTTTCTTACCCCCCCCCCCCCCCCCCCCGCCCTCCATAACTTCTTCATCTAAAAGCAAATAATAGGTTCGTGTTGTACAAATATAGTCCTAAATGCATTTGCTACAAGACGTTGCACAACGGTATACCCAGTTACGCCCCAACAATGTAAGTATATTTCCAATCTTCAAATATCAGTCTCCTGTTGCTTTGAAGCCATCAAGAATGTGTTTCTGATTTAATGCCCCTCGTTAATTAATTAATTAATTATTAATATTAACTATTACTTACCTATTTAACGATCTTTTTACTGGAAACAAGACCTTCCATCTTGATCCTCATGGGTGACAACGCGTCTGCATTTTGATTCGTAATCGTGGATAGATGTAGATGTCTTTGGGCCACAGCAACTACTTACCATCAGGTGGACTGTGTGCTCGTTTGTCGCCCTATCCTATAAAAAAAATCATCATTTTGGCTTTCGTTGTGTCACTTGAAATTGGTGTCGTTTGTCATTTGCCTCGCCTAATGAAAATCAGCGTTACGAATTGATGTCTATCTTGAATTCGTGACTTAAAGTTGAGTGTAGACTATTTTGTGCATATTAAGATATTTTTTATGTTTTTCTTAAAATGAAAAGTAATCTTTTCTCTGTCTTCCCCGTTTTTTTTTATTATTATAATGTATGTGGCAAATAAACCTATTACCTTTTTTCTTTTACATTGACTTTTTTTATAAATTGCATTGACATATCAATGTCAAGTTGAAATAATTTATTAACTTCATACTATTAATATGGATGACAAACGAGCACACAGTCCCCCTGGTGGTAAGTGGATGCTGTGGCCCATAGACATCTACATCTTTCCTCGACTACGAATAAAAATACAGATGCCTTGTCGTTTTGATTCTTATTCAATAAATGTAGATTTGCCTTCGATTAAGAATCAAAAAGCAGATGCGCTGTGGACTAAGGACTAAGATGGAATGCCTCGTTTCCAGTAAAAAAGGGTCTCCGGATCTCTACACTCACCATACGAAAAACAGCCGTATTAAGCTGCAATTTTACGCTGGTATTATGTGAGAGCGTGGTCCTTCATTCATGCAACAACCATAATATAGCTGCAGCGATCTTTAAAATTTGAAGGTGAAAGTTGGCGAGCAGATTTACTTACTTACGCTAGATAAGACAACAGTAGTCACCTTATCGATGCTAGCAAATATATTTATTTATTTTATTTATATATTTATGCATTATTTTTTATTATATATATATATATATATATATATATATATATATATATATATATATATATATATATATATATATATATATATATATGTAGGTGGCACTGTTGTCGAATCCGCCCAGTCAGCCCCGGCTTCGCACGCGTGAATTTTGGATCTCGACAACAGTGCCACCTACCGTATCCGTATAAGGGATATAATTTATAATGTAACTATGACTTACTTAGAAAATGTATCTAACCTTTATTTTTTCAGCCTTCTGCCGGACCCAGCGTTGTTTAGCTACCTGCAATATGTGGTAGTATAATGGAGTGCAATTTCGAATAAAGCGCAGCTGAATAAAAATAAAATAATCAAAATTTATAATATGAATTATTTTTAGAAACCTTCCTATATTCGGTGTAAAAGTAAAAAAAATGTCTACCAAGTACCAATGTAATATTTTATTATTTTACAGTTGAAACCTATATCAAAAGAATATGCTCAAAATAATGAAACTAAAAATTGTGATGCTGTGACGCGTTAGAACAGGTGGAAACTATCACATATGAAAATATACACATTATATTCTTCCTCTTGTTCTTCATAACCCGAATCTAACAGTTCCTTGTTGGCCACTTCTTTAACAATAAGAATTTTGCACTGCAGGCAAACTTCTGGTATATCGTATTACAGGAAATCATCTTCACTTAGTGTATTATCCAAGGATCGCGGGCTAAAAATAACAAAAATGAAGTAATAATAATATTTAACATACCTGTTGCGCGGCAGCCATCTTGTCGTGTTGGTTGCGCAGTTCCAGTTTGTACCGTTCCTCGAGTGTCTGCACGGACCTCTTCCAACGTTCTTCTAGCGCTCGTCTTTCGTCCACTAACTGCTCTATACGATGGTTCAACGTCTTCTTGTCATTTATTAGCTGAAATAATTAAAAAAAAAATATTTGTTCATTTAGCCACATGAAATTATATGCGCGTTATTATTACATATTAAGTATAAGATTCTGTTTTCCAATCTAGTGCAAATTTATTATAAACACGTAATAATAATGTCCTCCAGATCGAATTTCGACCGCGGTGGCTAGTTCCAATGTAGACGAGCCATCAACGCAGGAAAGGATTAGATTACACGAGTACATACATACACTGCCTGTCACTCAGAGGGGTAGGCAGAGACTACTGATTTTCATTTGGCACGATCCTGACAGACCTCTCTCGCCTCCTTCACATTCATATACCTACGCATACATGCTCGTCGGCTAAGAGTACCCGTTTTCAATAAATCGCTAATTTGGTCGATAAATTTTCGCCTAGCCCTTTACAACCGGAGATCTTTTTTCTGTTCAATTAATTTATAAATTGTAATTTCTATTTATTTAAAACTGGTAAAAAAATCATGTACCTCTGAATAACTGTAAAAATAACCCGCACGATCGTGACGATCAGGAATAGTTTGACATCGTCACGAACGTGACTTCTAAGAAAATAAATTAGGATTTTTTTTAAAAAAGAATATTAACAATGCTATAAACGTTACTAACATTCCCCTTAACCACTCGTGGTAAGCTTAAATTGCTTGTGTTACGAGTGGTTCACGCCAGTAGTCGAATGGTGGATTCGAACCCACGACCTTTTTGAGTTCGCGGTCCGCTATTATTATCTATTGTCGCTTATAAATTGAAAACACTACTGAAATAATCAACGTTATTTTCTTTTTTGTTATAATATTTAATAGTTTTACTATATATAAAGTATCTATCTTAACAATATAATATCTAAAGTTAAACATTCTAAACAGAAAATAATTTTGCATAGCGTTAATCTTTTTTGGAACTTAAAAATAATCAACATAGGAACGAATTGAGATCTCCAAGTTAAATACCTAAATTATTAAAATATTCAATGATTAATTATCGCTCTTTGTATGATACAATCTAAAACAATCTTTTCCTCTCGAAAGGCACAAGTAAACGTTGCATTTTATGCAACGAATTTTACTTCGACTAGTGCACGTTTCTAGCCTGCATGAGCGTGGTGCCGATAATTCATCGAATGTAGGTAGATGATCGTAACCGTCATACCTTTTAGCATTAGAAGGCCTTGATGGCATATACTTTTTCTTTGCTGGCGGTTGCTCATCTTCTGTGTCAGTGGCGTGACTTAATCGCCGGTTGCGGGCTGGTGTATTTAACCAAGCATCAGCTACTTCCATTTTAAAATCTAAAAGGGCTAATATTTTTTTTCTCGAGAGCTTATTAGCCTTACAATCAATTTGATACTTCCGCCATGCGTTAACCACTGCCAAATCTAAAAAGTGGATAATCACTTTGACAGTCCATTTTTTAGTTTGTATAAAAACCCGATAGTACTTCATCATCTGGTCTAGGACATCCACTCCACCCATGTGTTTGTTGTAATTAGTTACTATTCTTGGAGCAGTAATATCCTTGTAGGATTTTGTTAATTTATCCCATCTTTTTACATAATCAGTTTTTTCTGCACCAGTACAATTAGAAACCATCAAAACTGATTTGTTATCTTTCCATTTTACCAATGATAACGGTTATCTGACAAATTGTTGACTTTCGCCACGAAACATAGCCCTGTCTTTCTTAAATTTCAGCGCTGCTCTCCCAGGAATCCTGTTCATCATTAAGGTACCAGTACTGTGCAAATTCTGCCGATCCATCTCCTCTAACAATGGGATCGTTGTGAAATAACGATCGTGGTACACACAGCTACCAGGCGGAACAGTCTTTGTTAAATACAGAACAACTGACGGACCAAGGCCTAAGCTCGTATCCCCAAACATTGTCTTGGCACCTTTATAAATCTCAAAATCGATCATGAGGCCATCGCTTGTAGTAATGACAATTTTTTTTAATCCTGTTGGTCGTGGCTTATTTTTTACGACTTGCCTCAATGCACAACATCCCGTGAACGGTATGATCTGTTCATCAATACTATAGTATCCAGGAACTCTCTCTAGCTTATAACAAGCATCCCGAACTCTGTCGATGATAGTTTGCATTTTCCAAAGTGGATTAAGAGGAGAATTGTCGTTTCATGGTGGTGGCGTAAGGAAATCGACAACGTGAAGGGAATTTCTCAATTGAAGGAATCGGTCACGGATCATGCTGTTTAAAATTAAGGGCAGTTTTGTAGACGATCGCCAGTACATTGGTAAGCGAGGATACGTGATGACGCCCATTATCAAGTGGATGCCGAACAATTTTGCTATCTCCTGTGGTGTAGTTTTAAGCACTGTTCCGTTTTTGCGAAGGTGTTAAATGTTGGAGCAATGAGCGGCAAGTTCGAAAAAATCTTCATAAAAGTAGTCTTGTACATACTGACTAGGTGTCCTTACTGCTCCCGAAAGTGGACAGGGATAGTTATGATCCTTGTCATTAAAATCAGTTTGCTTCCATGCAGTTGTTCGCATAGTAGAACAATTTTGAAAAAATACCTCATTAGATGATCGTATCAATTGTGTTGGAGTAGACTGAGGTTGAGCTGATGCGTAATCTGTAGTTTCTGGCTCTGAGACAGGATATTCATTTTCCTTGTCAAGGATATCTTGAAACAGTACAGGGTCAAAATCTTTTTCCCCACCATCGTAAAGTTCCTCAATGTCAGAATCATTTCCGTCTTGTATGAGGTTCAAAATATCTTCATCCCGCAAAACTGTGCCTAAAAACAATAAAACAAAAAATTAACTGACGTACAACGTGGAAAAAACATAGTTTGAAAGTGTCGATTTTTAATAGTAAATATTGCAATAGGACTCGGATCGTCAAGATCGTGACGATCTATGCTTACAAGATCATAGGCGCAAGAAACACGCTATTATTTCAATTTCAAACATGATATCGTTTAGTTTGATTAATACCATAAACAATGAAAACAAAATCAGTCAACATATAATGTAAAGTGTGAGAAAATAATGTACTTACGTGAACGCACGCCCTCGCCAAAGTATGCAGCCATCTCTGACAACGGTCCGCTGGCCACTGATAGGTTACGACAAGTCAACGTTTTGTCTATATAAACGGAAAACATACACACGATCGGGCGAAGACGGTTGCGTTCACAAAAATTAGTTAATTTCGCGGGAAAAAAAATTTTTTCGATCGTCACGCTCGTATACAATCGGTTGTAAAGGGGTAGGACGTCCCATTCCGAATCTGCCATTCACTTCTGCAACATAATAATAATTTCTTTAACGACCGCATTTCTACTGCGTTTATTCTACTCTCGTGCTTCTTCTGCCACACCCAACTTTCACTACCATTCGTTAAATTAGGGACCAACACAGCATTGTGAATTGCCATACGTGCCTTTTTTGACACATTCTGACTCTTCACAATAGTGTAGGGACCCATTTACTCTATTTCCTGCGTTCACTCGTCGTAAATACTAAATACGCAACCCAAATACACAAAATCATCTAATAGCTCGATCAACTCCCCTTCTATTCTTATATATATATATATATATAATTAAACAATTACACGAGTGTGTGCGCTATTACGGATGCACTTTTTATTCCTTCACTTTCATAATACTCTCATAAAAGAGATGTGGCGTAGGACCAAAGGCTTTTCATAATCTCCAACTACCTGACTCCGGACCGCTACTACTTCATGGAAAAATCCGATAAGTGATTGGAACGGGTCAGCTCAACTAGTTTAAATTAGTTGCCAGTGTGTATAGTTCCCAGTTACCACTTATAAACAGACAGACTGTTAGCATGAGCTGTGTGTATGCTGATTCTATATAACAAAACTTGAAAATGTACCTGGTCTATAAAATTTTGATGTCGTTTGATGGTTTCCTCGCAATCTTGCTTCACTTTCATAATGTTCCGTTGCGACTGCTTTTCTAAATTGCTTACTTTTGAGATCATCTATAAATACAAACGGACAGGCTAAATGTGTAATCAAATCGATCATCATCAATTCAGATATAAATTGCGGTCTGCCATATTGAATAAGTACAATATGGTAATTTATTTAATGCTCTGATCATAACCACGTAGTATGTAAGTAAGGCACGAACGTTCTATTTTAACGCCACGATTTGTAATATAGTATCATCCAATGCAAAAACACTCTAAATCTTAAATTAAAAAAATTAATGATATTTTGAATATCATTACATGATAATTAATTACCTGCTGTTTATGGTTAGCAAGACTTTCCTGCAATAGTGCGATACAGCAGGAACGCTCTTCTAGCTGAAGTGAAGCAGTCACCAGTCTTTGTGCTAACTCCGTTTGTGGTAGCTTTAAAAGTACTTCAAGCCTATAATGTTAATAATATACGTTACAAGCTGCCATTTAAATACATAATTACAAGAATTAATTTTTGAGTACCATTATAGAATGCATGGTCACGGTTCTGCTGATTTTAGCCTTAAAAACTAATATAATTAATATAATAAAAAAAATGTTGACTTACTTTGGTGTAGTTTGTGGTGTAGAGTTCGTAATGACGGATAATGCATCGTTTGCACTCTGTTCGACCTTCTCCAAAAACTCAAAGATTTCCCTGTAAAGACACAACAGTTTGATAAAATTGTAACCCCTTAAATTTAACAAGTTAAAAACCCAACATACATAAAATTGTCTTTTGGTGTAGATCTCCCCTCTTTTACTTCTTCCATTTTTAGTTCTTCCACATTAGGAACAGTTACTGGATTATCTCCATAGCTTTCTATTTCTTTTAGCATTGAATATATATCTAATACAGTTGATTTTGAATCTAAGTCTCTTGCTTTGGTGGACTGTTCTGTTCCAACATTAGCAACGGGTATTGCCTTTCCTTCACTTACAGAACTTGTATCAGTCGTAGTTGGCTTAAGTGTTTCGCTAATTTCTGAAGTTTCAGCGCAGGCAACATCAGCAACCTTTGTAATTTCTACATTTTCAGTGCACACTACATTAGCAACTTTTGGAGATGTTACTGCTAAAGACATCCAGGAATCGACATCTTTGTCATTTTGAACACTTTCTATTCGAGCACTTAGAGGAAGTTTGGTTGTGTAAATAGTTTTTGGAGATTGGTGCTTTAAACTATCTTGTACAGTTTTAGCTACATTGTTTCTATCATTCTTCCAATCAAATTTAAACCCCGATTTATTATTAAAATTATTTATTTTCTTCTCAAACTTTTTAAGATTTTTTATAACTGTGTCTTTGGTAGATTTAGGGTAATCATTTTTTACTTTGAAATAATTCTGTATCAGTTCCTTAGTGGTTACTTTCGTTATATCAGTTTTATTATTATGTAAAGAATTTTTGTTATCTTGAGGTAAATCACTGATATCGGAACTCTTGTGAGAAATTTCAATTGATTCATCTTTTTCTTCAAAAGTTTCTTTAGGGTTTTCGAGCATTACGTCAACATTTAGCGGAGTTGTCGATATAGGATCAGTCTTTATATCTTTTATCGTTAGATCATGTAAATTATTAATAGCTTCTATTTCCCTTTTGTAATCTTCAATGACTTTAGAAGTATATGCTTTAGCACTACTATTACGTAAATAATTTGGATACTCGCAATTCTCATCTTTATCATCTAATTTAACAATAGTAGTTTTATTTTCATTTTGATTAGATGTTGTATGCATACTATCGGGGGAGTTTTGAGGGGGTAAAGCTAAATGACCTTCTGTTTTCAAAAAAAAATCCTTGTACAATAAACGGCTATGATTGAGAGGTTCTGTCCATTTTTTATGAAGCGGATAGGTTTTATGATAATCTTTTTCATTACTTGTACTAGATGCGCTATCTAAGCTTTTTGGTTGATCGTTCAATTTATTATCGGAATTAGATTTCTTTAGTAACGATGAGGAAGGTAGCGAAAAGTTTTGATACATTCCATCCTCCTTGATAGCACTGTCAGGGTAACCTGAATCTTTCGAAGAAGAATCAGTGTGTATAACAGTACTAGAGAACTTTGTTTTAAGTGAATAGTCCTTGGCAAGATTAAAGTCATCATAAAAGCTTCCGTATGTTCTAGATTCATAGGAGAAATTTTGCAAGTTTTTTAAATAATCATCATCTTTTTCTTCATTGTTATTTGCTATAAGATTCTTATTATACAAGGAATCTTGTGGTGCATTGGATAAGTTTTGAGATGGAATACTTTCAAGATCCTGAGTGGACTCTTCTTCCACCAATGACAATTGCTGCTTTGTTAAATTTAATCGGTGGGAGTATATATCTATAGCTTTTTCTACATCTAACTGCATGTTATCAGAATCAAGTTCTTTATAAGTTTCATTAGTTTCATTATCTTGGGGGCACTCATAGTCATCGTCAAAAGAAACAAAATATGATTCATATGAACTTGGTTTAAATGAGGGAGATGCACTTCTGTGATGAAGTAATTCATTTTTTCTACATGGTGACCGTTCAGTAATAGTTATTTCCAAGCCGTAATTTTGGTTCAGTCTATTATCATTAGTTGCATGCTCCATTATCTTACGTCCTCTTTTAGCTATGTTCCTATATTTAAGCGCTTTTGTATTTGTTGTTTTATTTTTAGGTGCTAACTGAGCTTTTGTTTTTATTTTAGTACCTAAACTAATAAAAGTATCTTCTGAACCATGATCAGAAGCATTGCTGCACAATTCTTTGGTCCTTTCTATGGTATTGCCATTGAATGGTATTATGTCCCCAAGTAATTCAGCTGTTGGCGAAGCAACTTTTTTAGGGGATATCCGACGACCATCTGTAAGCAAATATAAACAATGATTAACTTCAAATAAAATAAGACTATGATATTTCATCTAGAACTGTTATATAAATATCACGCTTTCTTACTGTTATATGTTTGGAGTAAGTCTTCACTGTAACTTTTCAGAAAGCTTTGTGTAGGTGGTATCCTTTCTTTTGTATCTGCAGAAAATGGTCTTTTAAATCGGTCCTGACAGTCCTGAAAAGGCAAAACATAGCATACAAATTATCAATACATAATTTTAACACAAAAGTTATACATGCTACATCACACCATATTATCTTAAATGTGTTATAAGGGGGGAAAACCAGAAAGTTTTCATAACTTTGATAGATGGTAGTACCAACTCATTGAATCAAAAATATAGGCAGAACAAATTCCATGGGTGATTTAGGACCCCATTGGATACTAGACCTCTCATATCTATTTATACCTACTTTGTTATGAAAATCTCAAAATACAAATTAAAATACATCTGAATGGATTTATCATTTTATAACTTACTATTATAATAGCACAAATTAAAAAAATTGTGTTTCATTGACTGTCAATATTTAAAGATTCTCTAAATCTAAAGAGTCTCTATCAAAATCCAAATCTGTGTCCATGCCACGCACAAGTGCAATGGGCCATAAAAATCATACTAAAGCAATTGTTTCTCAATATTTCAAAATATAAATAAAGTTGTATTAAATATATATACATAATATTTTTTGATTTTATAGATAATACATATATACACAATATATTATTATCTATAAAATCAAAATGTCATGAGGATGCAGGGAAGGGCAGCCATCAAATGTAGTCAAATACAAAGCAACCACTGTTATTAATTGTACAGTCAAGAGCTCATGGAGCTTTATACATTGAAATTTATTCCGTACTTATTCAACGTAGAGGTAAGAACCCTAATAGAAGTGTAAAGCTTCATGAGCACTTGTACATACACTTTCCCATCCTCTACATATCAACTTGTGCTTGTGTAGAAAAATCCTTAAATTAAACTGATATCTACGGTGCTACTTGTAGCGACTGCTTTTTCTTCTTTATGAAGGATTTGCAATTATTACAATGTTGAGCATCAAAAATTGTAGTACCCAATAATGAAAATATGAGTTTTTTTATAACAATTAATTTTATAATTTATTTTATTTTATTTTATAAAAATAAATTTATAGCAAACATTGTAATAAATAACCATCACTAAATGCTATGAGGCATCTCTGATCTTTCCTATAGTTGCTTCTCTCTAATAATTATGAGACAAAATCTGGTCACAGGTTTCCTCATATGGTAGAGCTACATTTTTAAAGCAGTGGCTTCTGTTGTAGTATATGGAAGATTACAAGATGATCTTTTATCTTTTAGAACTCCAGAAGATGGTCATATATGTATAGTATATTATATACCCAACCCAAAAAGGAAATGGTGAGCAAATTTTAAGGAGCAAATATTCCTAACAATTGCTAAGAATACATTTTGTTGAATGAGTAATTTAATTATTTTTTAAAAACGTGAGTTCTTAAATTCATAAAGAATATCAATTTTATTATATATTATTATATAAAAAATTAGAGACAGTCTTTAATTAACTGGTCCCAAAAATTACCGGTGTGTAACAAGAATTTTGAAGAGCAGATCGCGGTCGATTCCGTATATTCTTTTTGTCGTCTTTTCTTTTACTTCTATAGGAAAGATTAACTGGCGAACCTAGAAGACGCAAATTAGTATTTTCTTTTGACATTGCAAGAACTATTTTAAATTATAAACATATTTTTAGCAATAGTAATAATAACTTTGATTCGACACAAAATTAAAAGAGAATAGAAAATCCATCAAAATTTCCTTTATTTATTTAGTATTTTCTAAAGGTTTATGTAATTTGGGCAGAAAGGATCAATCAAAGTTATTTGTATTTTGTATATGATTTTCGTTGCTAAGCAACCAATAGTTTAATTATATTTTTTTTTTGAATGGCAAAGGAATCTATATACAAGCAGCCTAATTTTACGTGTATTTTGTTCAATAATAAGTTTAATGTTTGATAAGTTTATTTAAGCGTCACACTTTGTAGAAGATATTTTAACCAAGATGTCACCTTGATGATGATAGTTTAGGAGTATATTCTTCTTTTAAGGGGCCTTAAATAATATATTATGCTAAATCTATGCCGTACATACATTTCTATTTTATGTTAATTTATTATTCACAATATGCTGACTGCGCAACATTGTTAAGCTTTTAAGCGATCTAGGGGCAGTTTATGTTAGCAGAGAGTCGATGAATACGAATAAAGTGTCTTAAGACGCCTATCACTTAAGTAAATGGTTAAGGCTTCAATCAAAATCTAAACACTTGTTTAGTCATTTCCACCACTCATAATTTACGTATAAGGACATTAAATACACAAAATTGCAACACAAAGCCAATCTAAGCCATTATTTATGTGATAGTAATACAGGAGCAGCAATCCGCTGCGCTGGCGTTCAAGTTCCCGCCGCGCCGTCCTGCCAAAACTCTTATTCATAGATTAATGCGTTTTGATATTGCAAATTATATCCATACCTTTTTGATTCATTTTAAATATAATAATATTATATTCTCTTATTTGGCCATAACAGGTTAGTTAGGATAAGCTTACTTATTCGTTGTGTTGAAAAAGCCAGTGCCGCTCTGCCTGGGAATAGTTAAGATCAGCATTGTGCACTTTTGTGAAAGGTAAATTTTCAAAAGCAATTAACGTCTTTATGTGCATTGTTAACCAATCCTATGCTTGATCTTGTCTACTATATATAAAATGTGTTGCTCTATGTCGAACATTAAATTAAAATGCCTATTTGTATCACATTTTCGGATATTCGACATGACTTTTATACCTATACAATTTTTGCGTATTTATAGAACTATCGGTACTTTGGCAATAAATATTTCCAAAACAACCCAAATTGTATAGAAACAATTTGTATTAAAATTTACCTACAAGACAATTGATGGGGTCACGGATAATCATCCGTCATAACGAAATTAAAGTAAGGAAGAAGAATCTTTCTTTTGAACACATAAGAAGGGAATAACGTTGGTGGTGTTGCAAAATTTATAAAAAAAAAAGCGTCGATTGCAACAGAACAGGCCAACTAATCATTGTAGTCGATGATTTTTGGTGATCTGAATATGTACAAATACTTATTACTATACCTTTTGATTAATATCAACATTGCATTTTTGTAATTAGATAAGTTATGAGTGTTATAGTATTGTGATAGCGTCACCTGATTTTAGTTATGACTGTTAGTGAAACGAACTTTTTTTGTTAAAGTTTTGCGTTAGTAGTGTTTCAATAAATAATTGAATTTAATTATGGAACTAGACTTGCCGCGGAAAAAATGCACTTTTATTTGATTTGCGTGTTTATGTTGATCGATAAAGAGATTTCTCGCGAAACAGGCGCTTACTTTGGGAGTTTTTAATTTGCACTGTTACGACATTAATATTTGACGGAAAAATACACTCCTGTCGATTTTTATTTACCCGAAACGTCTACTATCAATTACTTATCGTTACTTTTAATTATCACTATCATTGTATTCATTTAATGTCATACTTAACCAGAGTAGGCGCACTCCGCGCTTATGGTACGAAGTACGAATTCATGACGATGAACAAGAAGTAGGATTGACGTACAACGATGAGCAGCCTTGACGTATCTCAGCTTACTAGCAGGGTAGCAGGCACATAGTGCTATGCGAGGTGAGTTGCACTTTATTGCGTTGTAGAAATGTTTTTGCAAAGTGATCCTTCTGTACCATGATTTGTTCTGTAAGAAGTAATTTTCATTTTTTTTTGTTTCTCGAGATAAGTTTTATTTAATAAGATAATTTAATTTATTATTTCTTAAAACATTACTCACGTGTTATCGATTTTGATTTAATAATTTAACTCTTCAGTCACATGCATTAACAAAACGCGCTAGCGGCTTGCGCTATGACGTCATCGTTAAATATACGTCGATTACTTCATTGCTGCAGTTGGCTCTTATGTCATTTAGTACATGCATGTATGAATTGTATGAAGAAAAAAGGTTACGTCGTTAGTCGGTGATCGGTGTAGTGCAGTGCAGTTCGTAGTTTGGAGAGGCTAAATTGAAGTTTGTGTTTTATAGACGTATTGCGGATATCCGTAAATTTGAAGCTCCTTAAGTTTCTTAGTGAACACTTATTTCTTCGGTCTAAATTACTCTTTTTATTTGTGTGGTAAAAGCTAAAAGTACAAAATGTTCAACGCAATTGGAGGTAAGTAAATATTACCTTGTCGTTACCAAAGAATATATACACTACGCGAACCGTTACCTTGAAGCTTAAAATCCATTTATTTTTGCATGTTTACACATAACTTATATTTATGAAGGAATATTAGACAGGTAAGTTACTAGTATGGACCCAACATTATTATTTTTGAAAATCGTACACTGTTTTCAATTATTTATACAACTAAATAGTGGGTACCATTATTAATACATTTTTAACGACTAAGGGTAATTAATGAGCATACACAGTACCTGATGTATATATGCATGCTTTGGTCCATTGGTTTTATCTACTTCCATCCGAGAGAATAAAAGCTAATACGTTTGTCACGCCCAATATAATACTAGTAAATAATATTAATTCGTTATTTAAATAATAGTAAATATAGGAATATACTTATACCTTATTATGTAATATGGATCAGAATAATTAGTGCTTGGCTTTATTTTAATCGCTTCATTTAATATATTATACTAAGGTAATAAAATATCTAGTATAAACATTTTCTAAAATATTCATAAAAAAATTGCGCAAGTCAATTCTCATTATTATTTATTACGAAAAAATCCTGTATGATATATCACCTCTATATACCTACACCCGAGTAGGTAAGCAGGCTATCTCTAAACATATCAAAACATATGCCTACTCGTATGTTTTAAAAATAAAAATAAATCTTTGTGTAGACTGTGGAGGGTAGAGGCAGTAGGGATAATGGATAGGTTCCTAAAAAATACGCATTCATTTTACGTTTTATTTTAACTTAGTGGATGTCAGTTGAATATGCATTTTCAGCGCACACATGCAACACAAACAGTATTTTTAATTTAAATTGCGTTTGGTACATACTACATATACCTAGCACTTAGTTATTTTTTAATTATGATTGCATTCTGCGAAGTATAGACTATGGTTTAGGTATAAAAGTAATACCACGGTAATATTATCTATACAGTATTGTAACTCGGCCGTATCTTTGAAATAAATACCTAGAGCAGCGCGGTACGTAAACATGCAATAGGGCTGCCTGCCTTCAGCATTACATTTACCTACTTTGTGTTTCCATTTAGTTTTATGATTGTAAATATACTTTTTTTTACATAATCAAATATAATATGTACTTTGAAAATTCAATAGGAAGTGTTCAATAAAAATGCGTATCGTTTTTTGATTGGTAGATTTAATTAAAAAACCATGTTTATGTATGAATAACAAATCGGTCTTATGAATTTGCGACCGAAAAATATTTGCGCCTCGGCTGAGACGTACGAATTACTTTATTATTAAATTTTTAAGTACAAAAAAATCCGCATTATAATATAAAGCTTAATTAAAAATTATTTTGGGAAACATGGACAAGGTGGAGAAAAGTAATATCTTTTACTTGGATAAAGAGGTATCTATAACCAAGTAAAAGATATTTTATAATTTATATGTTTGGTTTTAAATGAAGTTCGCATTTATTATTTCTTTATTTTTATTCTATTATTTATTTCTTCCATTTTTTATATATATTCCACAAAATCATCACTGCGGCACTCACGACTGTCCGCATGCCGAGCGCATGCCGAGATCGAGGCGCGTAGGCATAGCTCTCGCTTCGTCCGTTTGTATGAAGTTGGAATACTGTATAGGTAAAATTACCGTGGTAATACGACGTAAAGGTTTAATTAGTTTTACTGTGAATGTCTCGTTGGTCTAGTGGTTGTAGTAGTGCGACTGCTGATCATGAGGTCCTGGGTTCGAATTCCGGGTCGGGACAAAAAATTCAATTATTGAGTTTTCCTGTCAAGAAATTCTCAGTAGCTGCCCGGAGTCAGTAAGTTGGCGGTGTCTCACCCCCGTACCTCGGAAAGCACGTAAAGCCGTTGGTCCTACGCCTGATCTCTCTCTGGTCGTGTCGGTTTACCGTCCCATCGGATTATGAGAGTGAGGGAATAGAGCCTGAAAAGGCTCCCAGGACCGGTCCATAGTAATGGACCGCGAGGACAACCCGGGTAATGGGGGCATACACCGAGGCCCGAGACCTGCAGGGTACCCAAGTAGTCCGTGCAGATGACAATACGAACGAGGGAATAGAGAGTGCACCTGTGCTTGCGCATACACTTGGGCACTATAATCTAGTCCTGCGCCGATGGCTAGCCTCCGTTAAGGCAGGCCGCCATGGCCGAAATTCGGTCTGGAGGACATTATTATTATTATTACTGTGAATGTAAATCGTTACATCTTAATAGTTCTTTGAGCTGACGCATTTGTGTACTCTTTTGATACTGTAATATTATTTTCACGGAGGCACAAAGAGCAAAGACAAATCGCAACACGTGCGCGTGCGCTGTTTTAGAAATCTTTTGGTTACTACTATCTATACCTACTGAGTACATTATACATCTCAATGTTTAATTCATGGCCAAAAAGATATAAAAAGAGCAGTATTTACAAGAGTTTAATGTAAGTGTAGATGAAACGAGGGAATTATGCTCATCATACCAAATGATCCTAATGGGAGCTTTGCATGCTTAAGCAAATTTATTTGTTCTCTTGACGACATGAATAGAATTTCTATAGTCGCTTGTTATATGAATGTAAAAGCGAAAGCAAACAGAAATGCCCCTCCGTTTTTTCCTTTTTTATTTTAATTTATATATTTTAATGATGAACAAAACTGCCTGCCAGTCTTCAAGAAATTCATAGAAACATACGCGTCTCTCATAAAAAAATTACTAAGGAATACAATTTTTGCGCGGTAAATTCCTTTGATTTAGGTATCTCGGTAATTTTTTCCTCTGCGGCCTCCAGGACTTCTACACTCTTAGGCCCCAACTCAACCTGCGCTACTGGTTAAAGGTCAATTAAAATAATGTGTTCAAGAGTCGAGACCGATGACTACGGCGGCCAGTCTCAACTTGGACCAGCCATCTGCACTGGAGAATTATTATAGCGCACGTGTGTATGCGCAAGCACAGGTGCACTCTCATAGTTCCATGCAACGATAATTTAACAGGACCGGAAAGAGACCAAGGGCATTACGAGACACGGGGCTGGAACATCGCTAACTTCCTGACTCCGGGCTTCTATTTAAAATCCCTTGACAGAAAAACCCAATTCTTATATTTGATTCGACCCGGAATTCAACCCGGGACCACATGATCAGCAGCAGCTTTATTATCTCTAGTCCAACGAGGCAATAAGTTAGAAATGGCTGTGATTATGTCTTGAAGTACATAGTTATGAGGTAGATAAGTTAAATCAGTATTTTATTTTTACGTAAGTTACGTAGTTGTTGTAGACCAATCGTAAAAACGGGCAGATCGTGATCTGCCTAGGAATTTCACGCCGCCACTGCATTGATTTGGCCAATAATTTATCTGCCATATCACTTTATGCCTAATTTACTATATTTATATGACGTCACTTAGTCGCCTCAAAGTATTATCGGTGGTTTCGTGCTTTTGAAGTTAACTGAAGTTAGGTATAATAATATTATACCTAACTTATGTAATTATGTAGGAGTAAAAATCATATTATGATTTTTACTCCTACATAATTTACTTATTGGTATATTATCATAAAGAATGTTTTTTGCTAACCAGATGAAACAACTTATTATACTTCGGAATTGTTATTTCATAAAGATACTAAAATGAATCATAGTAAATTATAATAAGCTAAGGTAAGTAAGGACCAATTCACTTTAGCTCTTTCTTTCTATTTTGTATTCCAAATGTATAGCCCCATTTACATTCAGCCCCTGCCACTGCTCCTCGCGCTGCCGGCAATACTTCCCTAAATACTGCCGTAGCAGGATCGCGGGAAGTGTGTATTCACACTCTGCCCTACCACTCACATCGCTTTCGGCTTTCGACTATGGCGGACGTCGAAATAATTACAGCGTCCGCGCTGTGTCTTCTTGCAATACAAAATTATGTTAATAATTTAAAAAGATGTCAAGTTCAAAAGAAGATAGATAGATAGATAGAAAATTTATTTGCTTAAAAACATGGTACATAAGATGATCAATGACGTGGAACTGACATGTTTTGCCATAATTGGCATGGAAAAATGATATGAAATACAGCTAATTACACAAACCCGATGTTGCTTAAAAGTTAGGTACACACATTCTTTTTGAATTCAAATATTATGTACAATTAAATACTTATACAGATCCACTCTATTTGAATTCTTATACAGTAAATTGTTCATAAATTATTAATTGAATTATTATATTATTGTTACATAAATAATATTAAATATTATATGAGATTAATTAAGCTATTATTATTTTATTAATTACACTTCAGTATAAACTAATTCGTAATTTTAATTACAATAAAATTATAATTTAAAAATCTCAGGCTATTATGCAAATATTACCTTTTAACTTATTTTACATTTTAATTAATAAATAATCAATATGAGTTACTAATCGTTTTTAGAAATAAAATGTCAATGTTCATTAATTCCTTAAACTAAATTTTATATTAATATAATAAATTTGACGAATTTATAATTAATTATGTACATAGGTACTATGTTAACTCAAAAAGAAAATTCGTATTCGTAGAAGATGATGAATTGTGGTTTTTATCGTTGAAATCCCATATAGTTTTTTCTGATTCCAGCAGTTCTAAAAACTTTATTGTATTTTCATTAATCCACTCGAAAGGCATTTTGGTAGATCGTATTTATTTAATAACAGGACGGCACGCACGTCCGTTCATCCAGGCGCTTGTCGCGAAGTGAGCGATGGAGCTGAATGTGAACACACACTGCCGCTCGCGCTGCCCGTCCTTTGACTTCCGCACGAAAAACCGACATTTCGGGCAGTGTCAGCGGCAGCGGCAGTGTCAGCGCGAGTAGCCTGTTTACATACTGCCCTGCTCACTGCCCTGCTCACTTCCCTGCCCAAACGGGCTGAATGTAAATGGGGCATATAATTAGGAATCACCGACCGCCTTTTGTTGAGGTTTCCCTTTAAAAAATGA